TCATAAAATGTAGACCCTGGTGATTGTGCATTTTTTATTCACTGTAAATGGGGGCGTGGGGAATTTTACAGTGTAACAGCATTCTGTATAGACTTTCCATAGTCACAAAAGCGCGATAATTCAAAACCAGACTAAGTATGAAAACATTGGTATTTTAATGATATGGTTGTATTCCCTGGGAAGAGAAGAAGGAGGGGACACATTACAGTGTAACAACACTGTATTTAAATTTTATAACGTGCCATAAAAGGTCAACGCAAGCTTCGGCTTATGAATCATAATTATGTACCATGGTGATAGTATACGCAAGCTTCGGCTTATGAATCCTAATTATGTACCATGGTGATAGTATACGTAATCTTATAAGAGACTTTCAAAAGAAAACCTATCATGATCAAAGGCATGTGAACTTTGAGTTACTGTCACCTATTTGTAGTTTTGGAGAAGCTATTTCTCTTAACGGATACACGTCAAAGTTTGCAAAGAGATGCCATTTACATGCCATCTGGATGCTAAAATGTTATATATATATATATATATATATATATATATATATATATATATATATATATATATATATATAGTTTAATACAAACAATACTATCATACAGGTTAGAGAAATTAAATTCGTACTCTACCGAGTTTCGAACCCAGGTCCGCGAGTAAATGGCACCCATCGCCTTGCCTGCACGCACCAACCCATATACCGTCACGACTAAGCACGCATCACCAAAAAATGATGGCACTGAATCGTTGTTATATAAGCTCGTGCGTAGCAGACACACTCGCATGACGACCTAGTAATTAATTCTCATATATACACACAGTCGTTCCAGATTCCTCTGAAAAAAATCAAGGTATATAGGAGTTTTGTTTTACAAAGAATTATAAATATATACCAGACAGAACAGACTGTGCTATCCCTGGATTCTGTAGTAGAATCTTGATAATAGTGGGCAGAAATAATAGTTTAATACAAACAATACTATCATACAGGTTAGAGAAATTAAATTCGTACTCTACCGAGTTTCGAACCCAGGTCCGCGAGTAAATGGCACCCATCGCCTTGCCTGCACGCACCAACCCATATACCGTCACGACTAAGCACGCATCACCAAAAAATGATGGCACTGAATCGTTGTTATATAAGCTCGTGCGTAGCAGACACACTCGTAAAACCTGCAGGGTCTTTTTTTAGCACTATATATATATATATATATATATATATATATATATATATATATATATATATATATATAGTGCTAAAACATGAATTATGTAACATATTTATGGTGTCAGGGCATCAACTTGATCTAAAATTTGGTTTCGGTGACCTTATACCGATTTCAAAAGTCAATAATCTGATAATCTATGCAAAGGAGTGAGCAAAGAATGTCACACGTGTGTAAAATATCTTGGGAATTGCTCCAATGACATATGGTGTCATTCTTCAGTGTTAATACCAGTGAAGGAAGCAATTAAAGTTACATAGTAATACAAAGGACATGAGACCACTACACATGTGTATCCTTTGAAGCCAGTTGTAGTTTACATACAGGTTAAAATTTAATAAATCGCAAGGAACATGTGCAGATATGTTGTGCTAAAGACCCTGCAGGTTTTACGAATGTGTCTGCAAAGAAAAGTTTCAATGAACATAGATGGAAGAATTAAGATATTCTGCCTTCATGCTAACATGTCCCTGCTGCATATAGATTCTTGGACCAAAAATTTAAAAAGCACCTAGATTTGCGTTGTTTCCTTATGGATGTTGAGTCGTAAGTTTACAAAAAGTGATCAGACTGTAAACATGAAATCCCATGGCGTGACTGGCATATACATATTAACATGCGTACTGAATTCATTTGTCTACGTGAAATGTGTTTCTAAATTGAGCTTACAGGTTGGAATATTCAGTATATCTTATTAATCCCCTGAACCTAAACATGTCTATGGGAATGTTCAGTATATCCTAATAATCCCCTGAACATAAACATGTCTATGGGAATATTCGATATATCTTATTAATCTCCTGAACCTAAACATATCTTATGGAATATTCAGTATATCTTATTAATCCCTTGAACCTAATTATGTCTATGGGAATATTCTGTATATCTTATTAATCCCCTGAACTTAAACATGTCTATGGGAATGTTCAGTATATCTTATTAATCCCCTGAACCTAAACATATTTTTGGGAATATTCAGTATATCCTATTAATCCCCTGAACCTAAACATGTCCTTGGGAATATTCAGTATATCTTATTAATCTCATGAACCTAAACATGTCTATGGGAATATTCGGTATATCTTATTAATCCCCTGAACCTAAACATGTCTATGGGAATGTTCAGTATATATTATTAATCCCCTGAACCTAAACATATTTTTGGGAATATTCAGTATATCTTATTAATCCTTTGAACCTAATTATGTCTATGGGAATATTCTGTATATCTTATTAATCCCCTGAACTTAAACATGTCTATGGGAATGTTCAGTATATCTTATTAATCCCCTGAACCTAAACATATTTTTGGGAATATTTAGTATATCCTATTAATCCCCTGAACCTAAACATGTCCTTGGGAATATTCAGTATATCTTATTAATCTCATGAACCTAAACATGTCTATGGGAATATTCGGTATATCTTATTGATCCCCTGAACCTAAACATCTATGGGAATATTCAGTATATTTATTAATCCCCTGAACCTAAACATGTCTATGGGAATATCAGTATATCTTATTAATCCCCTGAACCTAAACATGTCATAGGGAATATTTAGTATATCTCGATATCTCTTTCGGACTGGCTTGAGTCAAGAGATTTTCTAGATACCTTATTTTGCACTGTACACGTCGACGATGCCTTGATCAATAGTTCAAAAAATACTTTTAAATGGAATAAACTTTAATAATGGCTCTAAAATCCAATAAGGTCATCTACATATTACTAATAGTCGACTAAACTGCATTTGTCTACATTATGTGAGTCTTATAACTTCATATTCCTTACATGATGTATGTCAACAAAGTTTACAAATATGTAAAATAAGTAACTATGCTTAAATAATGTTATTCGTCTACCTCAGGTGATTATTTTCCCAGAATCTTGCTTACAGAGATTTTGTAAAAGTTGTTGTTGGCCTTAACGCCATTTTTCAGCACACGTTAGGCTATTCATGGCCGCCAGTATTAATGGTGGAAGAAGAAACCGGGAAATCACCGGAAAGAACCACCGACCCACGAGAAGCTACTGGAAAGCTTTCTCACATATCCACATTCGCCGAATCCTAGACTCGAACACACGCAGACAGAGGTGAGATGGCAGTGATCCGTAACGGACAGCGCTTTAGCCCACTCAGGGCCCCTATTTTGCTATGTAACTATGCTTATTTAATGTTATTCGTCTACCTCAGGTGATTTTTTCCCCCAGAATCTTGCTTACAGAGATTTTGTAAAAGAATATCTGAGACAAAACAAAAGAGTAACATTTGGTGTGCATAAAAAGCATAAAAAGCCAGTTTTTAAAAACAAACCAGGTTTTGGAATTCACTCAAGGTTTTTAAATATCCAGTATGATATAGTTTGTGTGACGGCCAGACTAACGGATATTTATCTAAACATCAGTGTATTATACCCCATTTAGGGACTTGTATATTAAAATGCTGTTGTAATACATCATAAATTAGGTAGATATACATTGAAACCATTAACCACCACTATGCCAGATGTTGTTGTAGCTTTAGTACCATTTCCAGCACATAATAGGCTATACATGGCATCGAGTATATTGAATGTATTAAGACCTCAGAAGAATCCCTGGATGAATCACTGACCCAAGGGAAAGCTACTGGCAAACATTCACAATTATCCCATATTGACCGAGTTAGAGACTCGAACATGCAACGACAGAGGTGAGATGTCAGTGATCCGTAAAGGTGAGCGCCTTAGTTCACTTGATCAACATGGGGCCCGTTGTAAAATAATTCACACGTCGTCTTGGTCCCATATGTTATAAAAATGCCACGTCACGACAATGATACCTACATCATAGAAAATTCTTCGTTCTATCGTTTCTGATTCGTTTGTGCTGCTGGAAACGAGGCAATAATTTTAAAAAAAATGATGTAAATTGTTTTTGCTAAACAATTAACTTTGTGTATTTAAGCGTTACAAAGAATTTCCATTCGAGGATATTAATTCATACGCGCCTACAGAAACTTTGAAAGGTGTAAGCTCACCTCTGTCGTTGCATGTTCGAGTCTATAACTCGGTCGCATGTTCGAGTCTCTAACTCGGTCGCATGTTCGAGTCTCTAACTCGGTCGCATGTTCGAGTCTCTAACTCGGTCGCATGTTCGAGTCTCTAGCTCGGCCAATATGGGATATGTGTGAATGTTTGCCAGTAGCTTCCCCTTGAATCAGTGGTTCATTCAGAGATTCTTCTGAGTAAATTTAGATACAGATTGCAGTGAGAAATATGGGGGTGGGGGTAATCTATCATAATTCCGTGCAGCTTTGGTCTATTTGTATAGGCTGGGATTTCTATTCTGCATGATTCTATTTCGCATTTTTTTTCTGTTTGTAGCATATATTCTAGATTACATGTTTACGTACTAATAATAAATATTAGGATATAATTCAAATGCACTCATACAATTATGTGTATAATCCCTTCTACAGGGATGATCCGTGCAAAGCCTGTAACTAGCTACTTTTACTTTCTTTCTTCATGTTGTAACAATAATTGTTGATCACTTTCATCCTCACTGCGCCTTTGAACCATGTGCCTTTAATTCCTATTGCACACCCGTAGCCATCAAGCAATGAACAAACGCTCAAACACAAGTTTTGCATATTTATGATAGTGGTAAGTACAGTTTACGAAAGTAGTATTACTAATACAAACACCTTTGAGAATTAATAACCATCCAAGTTTCTGTTGCGCAACATAAAGTATGACTACTTAACTCTACAGTTCACATAAAATGGCTCCGGTGGCCTAGTAGTTAGAGAGTCCGCCTTGGATGCTGGAGGACGTGGGTTCGATCACCACCCAATCATACAAAAGACTTTTTTTTAAAAAAAAAAATGGTACTTACAGCTGCCCGGCTTGGTGCTCAGGTTATTGTTAGGACTGGTCGTCCTAGTGTCAGGATAATGCGACTTGGTGGGACATAATGCTACATATCTGAGGCATGATGCCCCAGTGCTAGATATATCTATAGACTGCCACACACAGCAGACATCGTAGCTATATGGCTGAAAAGTTATTAAAGCTATGTTAAACATCCAAATCTCTCTCACTCACACACACACACACACACACACACACACACACACACACAACTGTATGGTCGGTTTAAATACTTTATAACTTTGCAAAGGAGTTACCAACTAAGATTCGGGAACCAGTTTACTATCCATCTCAGTATGATGGTCACAAGATTATTTTCAAGATCTGCCATTGTAACAATCATATGACTGATCCAAGGAAACCTTCTTAGATAAGGGCCAGGAGTACGATTTATTATTGATCAAAGGAAATCTTCTTAGATGAGGGCCTGGAGTACGATATTATGAATGAACCACGGAAAATTTCTTGGATCAGGGTTTGGAGTTCGATCTTTTGAATAAGCTAAAGAAACACTGGATCAGGGATTGGAGTTCGATCTTGTGAATGATTTAAATAAAACGTCTTGGATTAGGTCCGAAGTACGATTTCTGAATGATCTAAAGGATCACTGGATCAGGGTTTGGAGTTCGATCTTTTGAATGATCTAAAGAAACACTAGATCGGGGTCTGGAGGACGATCTTGTGAATGATCTAAAGAAACACTGGATCAGGGGCTGGAGTTCGATCTTGTGAATGATCTAAAGAAAACTTATTGGATCAGGTCTGAAATACGATTTCTGAATGATCTAAAGGAACACTGGATTAGGGTCTGGTGTAGGATTTTTTAAATGATCTAAAAAGAACGTCTTGGATCAGGGTATATAGTTCTATCTAATCAACAAAATAAAGAAACCTTATAGCGTCAGAGTCTGAAGTTTGATCTTATGAATGAACTAAAGAATCCTTCTGAAGTACGATCTTATAAATGATATAAAGAAACCCTCTAGGACCAGGGGCTGGGATACGATCTTATGAATGATATAAAGGAACATTCTTGGATCAGAGACTGGAGTTCAATTCATGAGTCGCTAACCAGTTAGTGGATGGCTTTCGTGTGTTTCTTTCAGGGTCTTTAGAAATCAAATCTTTAATTTGATTTGATAGCGACATATGCTCACTAATAATAATAATAATAATAATAATAATAATAATAATAATAATAATAATAATAATAATAATAATAATAATAATAATAATAATAAAAACTATTACAGTCAATAAGTCATTTACGTGCATGATTCATTGACAAAAGAAATATAGCATGACTGATTGATTGATTAATGGATGGATGGATGATTTATTTATTGATTTATTGATTGATTTGAGACGGCGGTTATTGATAAGGTCGAACGCTTTAGACCAGATAGATAGATAGATAGATAGATAGACAGACAGACAGACAGACAGACAAACAGACAGACAGACAGACAGACAGACAGACAGACAGATAGATAGATAGATAGATAGATAGATAGATAGATAGATAGATAGATAGATAGATAGATAGGCGAGTGGTTTAGTGGTTAATTTACGAATGATGACATACATTCGCTTATATATTATAATTCGCTTTTTAAATGTTTAACATGGTTTTTCCACCATACCTCTTTTACATATATTGATTTATGGACACCATAAATTTAGTCCGTAATCTTTTATGTATTCCTTATTCTCATAAATTTTTCCTGGAGTGGTCCCTGTCTAATGAAGATTGTTTATTCTGCTCTTGTCCAGCTTCTTTATTTCTGTTGCAGTGGACATTAGAATAGTGTAATAAATCTCAATGCAGTTTAGTTAAACATGGAAAACAAAAATTATTTATAACAACTTCAGTAATATGGGCTCTGTTTAGATTTTAAACGTTTATTATCCATTATTCAAACTATGTTCTTATATATGTCTACATTTTTCACCTTCAAGACATGCTTCTTTTAAATTGTCCTCAAATTTATTAGTTGAAAAACTCAGCTGTCATAAATCATTGACTTACAATATGCTTGTATTTTTAACACAAGATTATTTTATCTATTTAATTTTCTTTTTTTTAATAATCATGTACATTTGACTTAAGTTAATTCTGAATTGACAATCACCTAAGCCTGTTACTTGCAGCAAATAATAATAATAATAATAATAATAATAATAATAATAATAATAATAATAATAATAATAATAATAATAATAATAATAATAATAATAATAATAATAATTGCAGATAATATAATACTAGTAATCCAATTTTAAACACCGAGAAAAATGATGTGTAAAATAATTATGGATTATATCATTATTAAATCGGAGTATAAGTCTGTATCGTTAGCGTGTACCGAACGGAAGTAGTTAATACAAAATCCTTAATTTCAGACCGAAGCTCATTTTCTAATTTCAACAAAATAAGTATTCTTACGTTGTACCCTATACAGCAAGGGTCTCAAACTCAAACCACCATGTGGGCCGCATGAGAACATTTTCGATGGCCCGCAGACGGCACCACCTTTGTTACCTCTCATGATGCCTTGTGACGCCATTCATTTTGCGGGCCACAGGATACATCCCATTGGCCAAGTGTTTGAGACCCCTGCTATATAGGGAGAGACAGATCATGGAGTAACCTGGGAGATGGTAATAGCCTTTGAAGAGGTCGGACGTGTCTACCAGGAGCTCCCGGAAAACAAAGGAAACAGAAGAAGAAAGAAGAAAGAAGAAACAGAACAAAGGAACAGAAGAAGAAAGAAGAACAAAGGAACAGTAGAAGAAAACGAACAACGCAACAGAAGAAAAAGAATCGGATAACAAGGAACGAAAGTAAAAAATCCGCAAGTAAAACCATTTTTTCTTTTACACACGATAAATTCTAAAAGAAATGGAAATCCGGAAACAGAAGACCGAAGAAAGAAGAAAGAAGATCGCTCCAGTCACCTCGTTGCTTTTAATAGCAACGTGGTGATAAAGACTGGTCAAATATGCCATACACAGAGCTCACTTTGGCAAGAGCTCTATTTCGGTTAACAACTTCTTCCTTGGCCCTTAAAGGGTTGATTGGAAAAAAAAAAAAAAAAAAATTTTCTCGCCGTCAAATCAAATTAAGATCACTGAAACGAGCCAGGTAGCTTATACCTCTCAAATTTGACTCAACTTTTGGAATTCCAGGTACGCATAGTACACGAAAACATAATACTTCTATTTAGTAGGAAAATTCACAACTCGCATTCATTCGACTCGTATGTGACTTACACATGTTTGGCTAAGATAGGGGACTCCCCCCCCCCCAATAAGCAACGGGCAGAAACAGGATCTAACTTAGTGGGCGGAAACTGCATCCATTGCCGTCATCGTCAGCTCAAGGCAACCTGGGAACCAACGATTATGGATGAGGAAAGGCAGTAGGAGGCGCCCTGGGTCACATCAACTTCATGTGAAAAGATTACACTTCAAAGCCAAAATATGTGACCCCAGGGTAAGACAGACAAAAGGAAGACTATCTCAGCACAAAGAACAGAGGACTCCATTACGAGTTGCCGACATAGTCAACTCAAGGTAACCTGGGAACCAACCATCATGGATGAGGAAAGGCAGTAGGAGGCGCCCTGGGCCACATTTACATCATATGAAAAGATTACACTTTCAAAGCCAAAATATGTGGCCCCAGGGTAAGACAGACAGAAGGAAGAGTATCCCAGCACAAAGAACAGAGGAATCTAGTGCGGTACCACCCTTTGCTGGACCCTTTCCTTTGCCTTTTCCGAGCCCGGAGTCGGGGCGGTGTGACTGTGTCTGTGGGATCGGCGACTCTATCAGCAACAACGATCAAAAGGTCTGTTTTTAAGGTTGGCAGTATAAAGGTCAAGCACTAGACTAAAAGCCCAGCACTGGGGCTATGCACCTCCCCAGATAGCAACAACACCGAAAGGTGTTGTCCGGCTAAGGTGGTAAACCATCTGGGGGGGGGTACCAAGCCCACGCGCCGGGGCAAAAAAAGTGTCGAGCTCTGAGACACGGGTGAGCCCTGCCTCGGAAGGAGGGGAGGCCGCTAGCCCTTTTCAGGGCTCTAACAAGTCATAATACACGAGAGTGGATAAATGACTATAAAAACAGTGCAGTGCAGTGGAGTAACCTGCTTGGAAAAAAAGAACAAAGATCATGCTCATATATTAGTGATTTGTTGAGGGCAAGATGCATAACCAGGTATAGAGCCATTGACTGTTTTGAGCATCACGCAACTTTTTAAGTGGAAGCACGTTCACAACATGGTAACCACATCAATGCCGAAAACGTTGCGGTATTGCAGTTGCCCCAAATAGTACACCCATAATCTGTGTGGGTTTTTTTATTTTGTTTGTAAAATGGAGTTATGGCAATGCTGTATACTAAATTTCTTTTTCAGAAAAGGAATTTGGAATAATTTTCATAAGTACTGTCTAATTCTCATTATTACTAGTCTTATATATTATTATTAGTAAAAACACAAAACGAATGTGATTAACATTGATGTCGAAAGGAAGATTGTTATAAATGAAGTAAAAGACAAATGTTATTAAATTGGTTTTCCCAATGTAGATTTTTTAAATCCAGTTACTTAACAGTTTTTGAGAGTATAAAGGTGAGAGTTCAAAGTCAATGAGCGTAAGTTTGAGTGCAGGGATTGTTAACAGATTTTGTGTGGAGCCAATTGTCATACAAGTACTTTTTAATAGATTTATGTGCATTTTATTATGCGTACACCTCTTTTGAAAAGACCGAATATCGGTCTGTAGATGATAATGTCCAACCGATGCAGAGCTACCCGAATGGTAGATATTTGTGTCGTCAGCGGAATTAGCTCATTTAAGGCACAGAGGAAGATCATAAAGAGTTTTAAAAAGGGACACGTCCAAGCATCGAATCTTGC